CTCCAGCCCCTTGCCAAAGTATCAGTATGAAAAGCAGAAAGGCCTAGAAAGAATAGACTCTGTGCAAGCTCTGCTCAGCAAGAGTAAAAACATCTCTTTTTCATCCTTGTGTCCAGCAGAAATCCATAACACAGCCTTGTGCTAGCCACTGTGAAGAAAATTAACTTTACCCAGCTGAAACCTCTAGAAAATCTTGCCAAATTTTAGAGCCATTCTCTTCTTCGAGTATTTCAGGTGCATATGGACCATAGTTAGTTTCACCTGTTGACAAATACTTTTCCAAAATTCTAGTGAGATCCGATGACTAAGTATTCCCTATAGCTGCCAGCAGCCCTGTTGAGCTGTGGTGCATGAATAAGGAATAATGCTTAAAAACTAAGTGGTTCTGTTGTAGGACAAGGTTTAATAACATTAGTTCCTGAGACAGGCTGCTGAGTGCTGATTATGCAGCAAGATTTTCTAAAAGGCTCGGCATTTAATCACTCCCACTGAATTAGGATAGTTAAGCAAAAGGGGCATCTGGAAGAGAGTGGGAGAAGGGATTGTTAAACTGATGTTACAGGAAGGTTTAAGGGAATAAAGTGATCGTTTACTGTGTGGAGAAGCAGGAGAGGCTATATAAAAAAAAATGAAAAGCTTTTCAAGGAGGAGTCATGGAGGCAGCACCTTTCACAGGCATGGTTTTTCAGAACAAACTAAGACCTAGATATTTTTTAGGCTTTCAGCTGCATGTCATATTATTTTTCTGCCGCTTCTAAATCAAGCAGAGCCTATGTCCTCTAGATGAGAAACCTCTGTGACCCTTAGTTATCTAGAGAATAGTCCATGTTAAGTTTATTATTTAATTCTAAGTTTTTAAAGTGCTGCAGTGACATAACAGTGTTCTTAGTAGTGTCAAGCTACGGGAAGGTATTATGAGCTTTGAAATCCTTAATCTTCATTTGGAGCCTTGTGGTTTGGGCACTGCAGTGATGTTAGGGCAGACATATAATTTGGCTTTATGATAGCATAAACATGATTTTTACATGAGTGTATTTAAGCAGACATATAGGAGTTCATGAATGGATATGCATATCAATACACGTATTTTATAAACTTTTTAGGATATGGTGATTTTTCAGAGGGGCTTTTATAAGCATAAATTGTACTTGTGCTTATACTGGTATAAACATTTTTATGTTGGCTTAACTGCATCACCATGAGGGTTATTTGCAATCAGACTGACATAACTGAGGGTGCTATTAACTTTAGATATAGTGTCATTGAAAGCTAGACGGCATTGTCTACATAGAGGAAAATAAAGGAAATCCATCTGTCCCATCTCTTATGCATTGCAAGTGCATTTTTCTCATCCTTAAACACTCTCAGTAGAAACTGTCTCCATGAGGTGTGAATAAGTACACTTAGAAAAATGTGGTGAAAATAGAAATTATGACATATAGCAAAAGGAACTGAAATTAAGCATAGTCTCATCTGGAAATTCTCAGTGTAAGTGGATAACAGTCAAACCGGCAATCATAATACTGCTGTTCATTTTGGTAAGTTTGTTTTATTCAGCTGATATCAGTTGCAGGATTTATTTTTTTTTGCTTTTATTCAACAAGAACATGTAACTACCTGATATGCTCTTGAAAATCCTCTGTACTAACTTTGTGAAATGTGAGCTAATTAATTAAGTGGTAGTGAATCAATTTGTGTGGAGTTGCTCAAAGTGGGCCATAAAATTTTGTAAAAAAATATGTAGAGAAAGGCTTTTTAATATACTTTTAAGAGTTTCTCAATCTTTGTTGGCAGAAGGCTTTCATCTTGGCCATATAAATAATCTATTCTGTGACAATTAATTAACAACAAGGATTGTTTATAATTCCGTGAGAATTATAGGCATAGGTTACAGTCATATTTTTCTGGGCCAGTTTTATCTGGGTTGGTTAGTTTTTATACTATTTTGTCATTCTGTGTAAAACAGCTTCAGATTCAAGTTCCAAAATTTCTCCGCTCCTGTCATGGTACTCACAGACATTATCTCACAACCTCAGTACATTTTCCCTCATATTTTTCTTCTGCATTTTAATGTGAACTTCAGCACAGTATCTCTATTATGATTACTGGAAGATCTAGTTAAAAATAATAGAAGCATTACAGAAAGAAGCCAACATCCTATTCTGAATATTCTGAAAGGCACATTGTTGGTGTGTTTCTTTGAAGGAGTTCTACTCTCTCCTATCCTTTTGTTGTTGAACACTCAGAGGTTTTGACAGATATGAGTTACATTATACAAATACTATACTAGCTTTAATAATTCAGAATTTCTAAAGGCAACTGAAAGGAATGGAATAGAGAAAAGTGAGCCTGCAGTCCCATCCTTAGCTATATTGACCTGTGCAAGAGAGAAGAGAACCACAGTCCTGTCTCCTTGCTTCCTTTAATTAATATTTGGAAGTGGCTTTGTTGCTGATCAGCACTTGTGCTTGGGGATCTGAAAAACCAGCAGCTGTAGTTGTCCTTGCTGGGAGAACAAAAGATCACAAAAAACATTTTTGTGTCTCCCCCTCAGCACCCCTGTAATCACACTGTAAAATGAATAGTATATCCTTCCTCTCAATAAAAGAAGGTTTTATTTCCCTCACAGACTAATTTCCACAGTTGTCACTGCTTTAAGATATCAAATATCTTTATGGCTGTTCTTGACTTCAATAAAGTGTGGCATGTCCTCTATGAACTGTCCTTTCCTGTTGGTAAGGGACAAAGCATTGATCATGTGGTTTCCTGGTAGTAAATAGTGGGGTTTTTTCGCCACATTCTTGGGTTTGGAAGCCTCTCCTCAGGCTGCCATGAAAGCCTGTTTGTCCAAATACTGAGCTCAATTCCTACAAGGGCTAGCTCCTGGTACCCAGGCTAGCTGGTTATAGGACAGGCACATTCTCAGTGTCACTTCCCCAGTGAAGAAAACCATGTAAGAATTTATAAGTGCTGAAAGGAAATAGCATCATCTGTCACATGAAATAATCACAGAAAAATTTCCTTAATTGCAGTACTGTAATCAGACCACAGATTTACACTGTTTTTTGTGCATGTTTTTCCACCTGTTATGTGCTTCCCACATCTCATCTAGTCCCAGTAAACTCTCCATACAGAAATGGTTGCAGAGCAATTACTCACCTCCCTTTTATGCTCATCAGAGCTATGAGGCTTTAGCCTGTTGCTGTGAAGCTGAGGCTAAACCAACACCAAGGTGTGTCATCCTCTTTTGCTGTCAGGAGATGCTGTGGACTATCTGGTATCTAATGTGCCCACCATATATCAATATGCATCCTGATGTTTTTCTCTCTTCTCTCTAGTTTGTGTTTTGATGTTTTAGATCTACAGGTAACAGCTGTCATGCTACAAATATAAAAGGAAATAGATTGGTTCTCATTTTAGCATTAACCATTTTAGCTTTTAGATGACTACTGGGAATATTTTATTGTTTAAGGTTGTCAAGAATTGATTCATGTATCTATTTCACAGTGAATGTTCAGTCTGTGACAGAAATTATAAACTTATATTCATTTCTAAGTGTATGTGATGCCATGTGGATGGGCTTTGTGAAACTGCTGCCAGACACCAGGGGATTTTGATTTTATTCCAAACTAGTCTTAGGTTCACCATCATGCCCATAGGAAAACTAAACAAGTCTTCAGAACTTTAAACTCCAGTTCTTGATGGGTTTGTAATAAATGCCTAGGACCTTCTGCCAGATTTACAGCCCACTCTACAATTTGTTGTAGACAATTTTAAAAATGTAACTATATATATAACAACATAACAATAAAGATAGTTTGTGTTAAGAAAACTTTTACCTCCCATGAGCTCTCAGATAATATAGTCAGACTAGATTTTTCTAAAATTGAGCTAGCAGCTCTATTCAGCAAAGCTGAACAGGCAAAATCACTTTGAGTGAGAAAGGAGAAAAGGTTAATGCGGAGCTGTTGGGTGAAATATAGTCTTTCCAAATTTGCCATCTAGCTCAAGATCATCAGCTCCCAAAATCAGTGTCGCAAACAGGGTCATGAGCTCAGAATTTAAATGTAAATTGGGTTGTGCATGCCCAGACAGAGGCCTGAAAGGAAATTTTTGTCTGCTGAGCCAGCTCTTCAAAGAACTCTTTAGCCAATGGGCCTGTGGTTTGTTAGTCTCATCAGAATGTAAAAGTTTTAGTGTAAAAATGCTAATACAGTAAGCTCCTGCACTTCTAAGCCATGCAAAAAACTCGACAAAAATAGCAGAAAATAATTGATGGCAGATGTTATCAGAAGTGTGGAATAAATGCATTTTAGAATTCCAAGTACAGTGGCCAAGGCAGCAAACATACAAATTCCTCTGTCTGCATACTCTATTCTGTCAGGTACAAGAAGGCCATAGTTGTGATGACAGTCCCAAAATACCAGATGAGACTAACTGTAAAATTTTAACTCAAGTGCACGTTGGCTTTAATTATATAACACAGTCTGTTTTGCAGTCAGGGTACTAATGAGTTGCTAATTCCCAGTCAGAGTAAGAGGTTTGATTCCCACTGTATCTGCTAACTAGCCAGTCTGCTCCATACTGGCTGGAGCCTGCCACTATGACTCTCCTGGGAAATACTTCACAGAGCAAGATATCCTAGTTGTTTAAATGGTAGGGGAATGTGTGATTTAGCTGTGTTTGTTCTCCCAGTAAAAATGTCCCGCATGGTGTGAGCCAGTAAGAAACTATGTGATCTTTAAGCTGGAGATGACCATGTCCAATAACAGTTTCCTGATTATGTAAATGAGTTCTTAAAAATGCTTTATGTTTCTTTCAAGAACCAGAAATGTTTCTTTTAATGATGTTAGCTGTCTGGCATTCTGATTTAATTATTCATGCCTTATTCTTTCATATTTCTTTTCCTTTTGACATACTGTCAAAAAAGAAAAAGTCAGTTAAATAATAGAGAACATGTGAACTGCCATAAACAATCACTCTTGTTTGTTTCTCTGCAGAACAAAAGGAAGTAAAGGTAGGAGAATACAATGCTGTGGATGACAAATTGGTAATAATCAACAACAGCATCAGGTTCCAAGGTAAGAGACAAAACTGGAAAGAGGTACAGGAGTGACATGGGTAGCTGTATGCAGTTTGTAAGACTGTATGCTCTTAAAAAACTGTTTTAGGATTTTTAATATTAAATGCTGTGACACTGTAGAAAGTAAAAGGAAAAAAATGCTTTAAAAATAGAATTCTGAACAGAAAATTGCAGTGCTTTGTTATCGTGTACTTGTTCTTTACTCCAGTGATAGGGCAAAATAAAATTTATATGTGTACACAAATGTTCTTTGATATTTCAAGAAACAGGTTCTTCACCAACGAATAATGTTCTATTTCATCCCCATTTCTCATTCCCCCAGTTCATCTCATCTGAGGGATGCTCTCATGTTCTGTGTTTGCAGACACGAAAAGGAGGTAGTTGTTTTTCTTTAGGAGGTGTCTGTTAGGCAGTTAGAAAGTAGGTTTTCAAAATCCCAAGGCTGGCTTTAACATGGCCCATGGGAAACGGGGCCAGAGAGGGTTTTCAGACCAGCACTCCGAAGGTCCACAACAGACATGTAGCATGTCTTGCTGTATCTTCCTGCCATTTTTTATTCCATGCTGCTCCAAAGATAACATGAGGACTTCCTTGGCCCTCAAGCAGGTGGAGTGCAGGCATACCCATGTTTTTCAGAGCCCGTGGTCATGGCAGCCAGGTGTGAGCTAAAATGAGTTTTAAGGGTGTGTCCTGTTGAATATAGGAATATACATTATTTTCAAAGCTAATTTTTAAGACTTAATCTTAAGCTCTGCTATGGCGCAGTTCAGTGAGAGAGAGTGAAGTTGGCTTTATGAGTTCTTTATGAGTTGGTTTTTCCCTGGGAGTGGTGAGGTGGATGGATATCAAGCTATTGTGCTGTTATATTTTACTACACCTTTCTCCAATGTCCCAACACCCAAGGTTTGCATGAACATGGGTGGAGTTTCACTGCAGTGATCTAATTCATGACTACTTGTCCATCTGCTGGAGCTTTCCACCTTTCCTTTTGATAGCTCTTGCTGGGCTTCAAAGAGCACAGATGCAAAGTTTTTCACATGTCTCTGAGAAATGAGGCTTTAAAAATGAAGAGTGCAGAATCTGTCCCAGTTGTCAAAGTCTGGGACCCAGCAGATTATTTTTGTCACAAGGAGGAACTAATGATGTAGTTAAATACTGATTCAGTCCCATTAATTTCCAGAGAATACATGAAGTATGAATCAAGTTACAGGAGACAGAATTTGTTCATAACTTCTCACCTATATAATGAGGAAAAGTCTCTGTGCAGTCTTTTTTCAGGACAAGACTGCTAGGTCTTGTTCTGACCACATCTGAAGGTGGTCTTTCCACCCATAACCTGTGGTATGATTGTCTTAAGATGTATTATGTGACTCAGTGAATCTTTTCCTTTGACTCATCTTAGATTTTCATTGAGACAGTTGGATATTCAATGTGGAGGACACTGACTTCCAGTCAGTATAAAAAGCTTAGTAACTTTAAGTATTTGAAACAGAGAGTAGTAAAAATGTTCCTGTTTAAACCATTGCATAAAATTCCACAGCAACAGGATTGAATGGCCAGTGCACAAACAAGAAAATAAATTTTCTAGACTCACTGTTTGTTTATATTTAATAAATACAAACCATCGATATACTCTGTAGAGTATAGAAATGATAGGATGCAGTTTTATTTTTTAGTGTTAGTTCTTTTAACTCAGGCATGTGTTTTATTGGGGTTTTTTTGGCTTGTTTCTTGTCTAATTTTATGAATTGCTGTGGACTGTAAATATATGCAATGTGGAGGGAAAGAGGAAAATCTCAGGTACTTCAATATTAAATCAACAAATGCTCTCTTCACTTTCTTGTAATCACTTAAAGGAATTTTTTTATGAAAAGTTGGGCATAAAGACCAAAGGATAGAAAATTTCCATGTCTGAATCATTTCAACTTAACTCTTAAAGGTAAAGCTATTTTAGTACAAATCCTTGAATATTTTAGAGGCAAAGCAGAAGAGTGGAAGTAAAGTTTAGCCATAGCAGCTGCTCTTCATGTACTCACAGCCCTGCTTCTGCAGCCATGCTGTGAAAGGAGATGCTCAGCCCTGTGGCCCTTGCAGCCCATCGGAGAGCCGATGCTAAAGGACAGGCTCAGGAACTGCAGGCACACAAATCTCTTTCTCAAGGAAGAGAGAGATGCAAAAGGCCTTTTGCCAATCTCCTGCACCAAGGAAAAATTAGTAAGCAGGTGAAATGGAGTGTGGGAAGTCGGGGATGCAGAGCTTTATTGCAGTTGTCAGAAAGTGATTCTCCTCATTAAACCGAGAAGCCTTTAATTAGTTGGAGCTGACTGTCACTGAAATATACGCAGCTTTAAACTTAGTTTTTAAGTTCAGACATTCAAATCCACATCTGAAAAGTAAATATGTCCCTATAAAACTTTTGCTATCCATTTTTCCAGATTGTTCCCTCTGTAGAATCCTGAGGGCACCAACAACTCTCCCTTCCCTCCTCCCAGGGCTTCCCCCACCATGTCCCCTGCCCAGGACAACATTCCAGCCACAGGGCCATCAACCCCTGGCACAGTGATGCTACACTAAGGCTGATCTCCAGACAGGCTGTTTGAATTTGCTCTGGCAACAACAGAGGGCACAAAAAAGATGATTTCTGTTTTCTTCTCATTGCTCTGTCAGTTGTTTCAGGAAAGCATAACCTCCTGGTAAAATTTACACTCAAAGTATGCATTTTAGTGTTTATTTACTTTAAAATGAGGCTAGTTAGCATGTATGGAGTTCTGCACTGGGGTTTGGTTGTGTCTTTTCTTCCAAAGAGGATATTTACATGCTCCAGAAATGCAAATCTTCATGTCAATCAACGTGACTAACATATGTCTGTCAAAGTCAATGATTTCATCAACTACTGATGTTGTTCACAGTTGCTAAGTGTGCTAATTCAAGATATAGTGCTTAGGTGAGGCAAAGTTTCTTGCAGAAATTCTACATCTGGTTAAGCTTTAGCCTTTTTTTTCTTCATACAATTCTAGGACTTGAGCCTCCGAAGGACAAAACAATTATACAAGAGGAGCTGCGCAAAATCTCCCTGCCTCTCTACAGCATCCTCTCTGCCCTCACAATCCTAGGAATGATAATGGCCAGCGCTTTCTTGTTCTTTAACATCAAAAACAGAAATCAGAAGTAAGCCATTCATGTTACTTCTATCACAAATTCTTTCGTATTTAATGCGGTGTTTGTAGAACCAGTCATGTATATATATCTATTACATATATATATAAGGAAAATGTAAAACTGTGGAAAGATGGTATTTTTGAACTATTTAATTAAAATCTCTGGGTAACATATTCACATTGAAACAGACTGTATTTAAATGGTTTTTTACTGTCTGAAAAGTGTAATTTTCTATTTTATGTTTGACTGTCTGCTAATAACATTAACCCTAGCTAATTAATCCTTCAGTAAAAGAGGAGGTCTTTTTACTAAGCATTCAAAAACCTGAAACAATGCTTAACTTTATAAAACAGCAAGTACTGTGCATGCCTTTAGATTTCATGGAGTTCTAGAAGAGTTATCTCATTGCCTGGTTACAGAAAGCTCTTCTTTATTACTCTAGAAGCCTAGCAGTAATCTTTTCCTCTTTAATGCACTATCACCTTTTGTCCATAGACTAATAAAGATGTCCAGTCCCTACATGAACAACCTTATTATCCTTGGAGGGATGCTTTCTTATGCATCTATTTTTCTTTTTGGTCTTGATGGATCCTTTGTCTCCGAAAAGACATTTGAGACACTTTGCACAGTAAGTAATTCCATATATTCTAGTTCAATTCTAGTTGAATTCAGTCTTGCAGGAAATTGTGTGAGAAATGCAAACAGAAAAGTCCAGTAGTTGGAAGTGTCATTCCATTAAATCACTGTTTCTCATAATTCTTTCCTGGGCTATTTTCTGGGATCAAATTCTAAAACATGCACAAAGCTTCATTTTGGTAGTGGTGGTTGTTGTTGTTATTATTGTTGTTATTATTATTATTATTTATTATAAAAAGCTTCAGATGCATTGGGATTTTACGTCAGACTGAAAGGATAGATATATATTCTTGTTTTGAACTCATATCTAGAAAGATTATTTACTAAAGGCTGTGTTTGCAGCATGATAACTTATAATACCTGTAAAGCTACTGTGTTTTCTTTATACATTCCATACTCTTAAAAGCTACATGACTGCTGCTTGTCCAGATCTCTTTAGTCAGTCTCTTTGGCCAATTCTCCAAAGACTTCTACAATTGTTTCCAGGCTACGCTGTAAATTCTCAAGCCTAGATCCATGTAGAATACATTTTAGTTAAATCAAAACAAGCAACTCTGAAACCAAATTAAATATGACCACCTAGAAACTTGTATTAATTGTTCAGTGTAATATGAACTTACTCTGACTTACAGAGGTCTTTTAAAGAAAGGGATAGGGAAAGAACTTCACTGCAAGGATACTCCTTCCAGAAACAGTACAAACCAGCATTTAAATTTATCCAGTATCTTCTCAAGAAATTCTAAGACTCTGCTTGACCTGTTGCCTACAAATATCACACCTACTCAGGAGTTCTTGATTCTTCTTCTCATCTCTAGAAAGTTGCAGTTCACAGCACCTTTTGTTTTTAGGAGTCTGAATTTCTGATGTCATGACTGATAAGAGAGGAATTTTTCTTCAATAGGATAGCTCAAAGCATGAAAGTTGGATACCTAAAGCCAGTTGATGCAAATACATCCCTATATGTCAACTGAAGTCCTCCATACTGACTAGAATCCTTATGGAAGTGAAACACCTTGTGATCTGTTGAGTTAGACCATTTCAAAACACTGGAGATTCCATAACAATGCCAAGATGGACTTGAAGAGGTATTATGGATGAATGTACAGGATTGTCTGAGGAAAGTCTTACCTTCCTTAGCTGGACCTGGACATAGCTGTATTTCAGACAGGAAAGGAAAGGAGAAGGAAAGAATATCCAATCTTCCCACAACTAGAGCTCTAATTCTTAGTACAGCTAGTAGAACAAGATGCCTTAAAGATTTGAAAAGGATGATCCTGTTCACCTCTCACAAACTAGTCTATAACTGTGAATACAATGGGGCCAATGGAAGTGGAAGATGACATCAACCATTTTTTATCCAGGAATTATGCCCTTGGGAATGGGACGCAATTTTTAAGTCTTGATGTCTGCTCTGTCTTGAGGGGCTTGTATCCAGAGCTCCTGAGTTTCCTGCTAGGCTGCAGGCCGTTGTATGACTGGGCAACAACCCTTCTCTGGAAACAGCCATGCACTGCTGAACAGAAGGAAAGTGGGAACCAGAGGTACTTATCAGCATCTAGCTGTTCTCAGAAACAGATTTCCAATCAAATGTAGCTACACTGAGTCCTGTTTTACATGTGAAACAGTTCAGTCTGAACTCTGACAAATGAACCAATGTCCAAAATCCTATGCCTCTGAGCTAGAACATTTCTTCTATCTGATTTTTCTCTAATCTGCCTCTCAAAATGTAATCACTAGTCTCACTTTCTAAATGCGACAAAATTTAACTGTGGGCTGCTTATTTTGTCTAATCCTACATAACTTTCCTTTTATTTCAATTTGTAACATTGTGTTAAGTCTGTTTGTCTGCCATGGAGGGATAGATTTTCACTTGAGTAAAACACTTACTTGATTTTGATGACCAATAAAATAAAGGGGTGGGAAGAATGCTGTGTCCTAAAGCCAAACTTTGATTCAGAAATATCACCTTATGCCTTAAGCAGAGATTTTTTTTTTTTTTACATATATTCAAATGCTGTATAAACAGATCAGAGTCTGAGATTTCTTCTCAGTCTTGGCTTTCCAGGTTTTCAGTCCAGTACAGAAACATTTCTGTTTCTGTGTTTTCCTGTGCATGGCTACTGATGTATCTTCTGGACCTCAGCAATTAGTACTAGAGTCATAGATGCAACAAATCCTTCAGTAGCCACCAATAAGGAAGATTTTTCCAACATTCTACTCATTTAAAGCTATTATTTTAAGTTTTTTCCTCTAATTATATACTTTTAAATGGAATAGCTTATGCCTCTCTTAGATATCAACTCTACATGGCTACCATTCACTGTGGCAATGCACTTTTATTGTATCTAGAAAACTCTGAATTAGTGCTGGGAAATTCATAAATATGGGAGGCAAACGCACTTACCTGCTGAATAACTCTTCTCTTTCTCCTCCTCTCCTCCAAACATCCACCAGGTGCTGGGTACAGAGTATACATTTGGGTCTGTGTCATGAACATCCCAATTCCCATGTGGGCAATATGCTTAGTGCTTTCATAAGGTCTACTTACAGATACCAGTGCTTGTAGGATCAGGCCAGAACAAATTTCTTCATCATTCATCTCCCTTGAAATGCATGATTTTTGATTACTCCTTCTAGCCATGAGAGATTAGTTCAAAATTCACATTTTATTTCAGACTGTGGCTTAGTCTTTAAAAAAAAAAACCAAAACACTTAAAATTGAGAATGATCATAAAAAGCCATTGAGGCAAGTCTTCAGAATGTAACAACTGTATCTCAGACACAGAGAAGACATTGACATATGGCTATATGTCAATGAAGGGAGATATTTTTTGGAAAGGAAGTAAAAGTTTTCATTCAAGTTTTATAAGCACATGCAAAGCTATAAAGCAGTCATTAGTATTATCCCCTGTCTAAGCCAAGTAATCACCCTCGCTGTCTTCTGTATTTCAGAAGTGATGAGATCTTACCAGAGTAGCAGTATATGCCCAATAGCCAATGTACTTAATTGAGTATGTTATATATGGTCTCTGTCTAAATTCTGACAATTTTTGGCAAGCTTATAGGAGGTCCTTAAAACTTATGTGTTTACTAAGGTGCTCCTGCCACAGCAAGGAGATTGGGAATAGGTGGTCTTTAAGGTATTTTACAATCCAGGCCATTATATTATTCTGTCTTCACAAATTCAGGAAAAATGGTTTCCAAATTGTAGGTACTACATTCAAATCAGTTGAGTTTGTTTTCTCTAGAGCATGTTGTTTGTAGTGTTTATATGCTATTTGGAGGGTGTAATGCTTTGCAACATCAGCTCTTTTTTTTACTTTTCAACAGTTTATGTCTATATGTGGCATATGCCTAATGCTGTAATATTCCTAGAACACTGAAACATGACCCAAAATTACACCAGTAACACCTGAAAGGTTCAAAGGTTCAAATTTATTTGCTAAGTTGTACTACCATTTTCCACTCTGTAAGGCACTGGGTAGAGGAGGAGGTGGTCAATATGTCATTATGCTGAAACATGAACACAAGTGTTAAATATAGTTAAGAGTCAGCAAAGCACTTGAAACATGCTGAATAAGGGCATTATATCAGTCTTTAAAATTATAAAATATGGACTCTGTCACGGAGTGATAGAGTGGATAACTGGTTACTAAACACATTCATTTTTATCTTAGTATGACCATTTTCTATGGAAAAGTAATCAAGTATATTTAAATATATAATAATGCTGTGTTTTCACAGTAAGAACTCATAATAGCAAATGTAGCATAAGTTAGTTCCATGTCAGAATTAGAGATTAGGTATCATATTTTATAACTCCAATTATATGGAATTAAAATGATCCAGAGCAGTGAGTTCTGAGAAAGTGGTCAGTGTATTATTGAACCATTAGATCATGCCTTACTTAATTGCAACTTTATTGGTTGCACAGAACAAGAAAAAGCAATACAATATTTCATTACATCCATATGTATACCAAAGTACATAGTGTTTCAGAGAGAGAGAGAGAGAATGAGAATGATTTATCTTTGTTTTTAATCTCAGAATCACCATGATATCATAGCAAAAAAAAAAAAAAATTAAAAAAATTGAGAAGTTAGAAGTAAGGGTGTGAAATGAGATATGATGCCAACTGGAAAAATGCAAGCAAGTGGAAATATATTTCAAAGCAGTCATTATATGGAAGAGAGAGACTCAAAATTAGCAGTCCTAGTGACATATCCTATGAATAGAGTTTAAGGTGACATACTAAATAGAGATACTTAAAATAGAGAGAATATTAGATAAGATCATAACGTTTAGACTTCCGTAATACATTCCACTGAGAATTTCATGATTTACATTTAAGATGAGTAATGTCTTTCCAAATTGGAACTGCTATGGAATGAAAGACTACTGTAGTCTTGAGGATGATCATAGACCACTCTGTTTTGCATCTTCCTCAAATAAGTAAATTGAATTATTTAGTTGGAGCTGAAGATGTTCGAAGTACTCCATGTTGCTCTCACTCGTAGTTTCACAAAAAAAGGCCTGGTTCATTAGGTAGTAGTAGAGTGAACAACTCTTCTCCTCAGTCTTGGTAGTTCTGATGTGTAGCAGGACTTTCTCCTGGGGCGTGTGCTGCACTGGGTCATTGCAGTGATTGGGAAGTGGCAAATGATCTGTCTTGAATAATTGAATATAGGGTTCATGCTTTAATAGAAGATACCTATTCTGGAGATAGAATATTCTTTACACTCCAAAGTGTTCTGCAATGCTGCCACATAAAATATAAGAAGATTTAAGTCTTGTAATTTACACAGGTACTAAAATGAAGCATGCTTTACCTTGTTGATCTTATTAGTTAGCATCGTTTATATGCATTGCCAAAGCCAGGCAGATGTTCTGTGATTTCAGGTGATCTCACTGAGCCTGGGTCAGTGTTTTGGCTTGGATAAAGTGAAAAAAAAGGCGTGAAGGTTTTTGCACACTGCAGGCTGTTCTCAGGCT